GTTGGTGAGACATGCCGACCTATTCGACAAAGATTGGGGAACACAAAAATGCTTGTAAAGGAAGCTGGGTCCAACGGTCAGAAGTGACCGAACACATGGTAGGAACTGGACATGAGATAGAATTGTCTCAAACTAATAAGATTGCTGATCGTGGTACGTCTGCGGTTAAAGGACAGATAAGAGAGGCTATAGAAATTAATAGATTAGGAAATACGTTAAATGTGAGGAACTGTGATAGAAAGTTTAGTAGGAAGTAGTTATGCTTGATTGATAGGTTGAAAGAGAGAAAGGGTGTTGAACAGCCATCCAAAATGTAACCAGTATTAAGATAATTAACAAAACCATTCTATATCGATCTATATTTTTAATTTTCTTTTGCTTAAATGAGACTATATAAAAGGTAAGATTGATCCGGATAGTATTTTTGTCTTAGTGTTAACTTGAGAATTTTACAAGAATGAGTCCCAGATCTGACGATGTCCATCATATAATGGACAAAGGCTCAGCCCGTTTTCACCCGAAAAAAGAAACGTCTCGTGGACAGCGTCAATCTCAACGTCGTATAAAAGCCAAACGACTACAGTACAACGGGATTCAACCGTCTCCTTCTGATGAGATCGACATTCATATCTCTCCTTCATACACTTTCATACGAAATGAAAGCCCCAGCAATAATGTTATCGCAGGAGATTCATCAAAATCAAGCTACTCTTCATACTTACAGAAATAACATTTTTTTAATATGAAGCTACGCTCTGACCACCCTCCAAGTATGCATAATAAATTTGTGTATGTTAGACTATATGTAATATAAAAATGAGAAGAGGCTGTACGGACCAGAACCAAAAAGAAGCACAAAATATCTGGGGCGCACCTAGCCTAAAATGATTTATTAGACTTAGAATTGTATTCTGAGACCGATTCTATGAAGTATTCATGGATGAATAGCCAAGACTAGGTAAAAAGACAATACCATTAAGCCTAAAAGTGACAAGGTTCTTTCTTGGTAAATATTCATACTGGCAAGTGTATTTTTGTCTATATATAGAGCGAGATACGAGCCTTAGCCAAATAGAACAAACAAAAATTGACCTAAAAAGTAGTATAATGCATATCTTAAATGAGCTGTCTTCTCCACAAAGATTAAGTAGTACATGTATTTCGTCAGTCTAAAATTGACAAGGAGGATGAAAACTATTTAACAGAATTCTGAAGTGCAACTTTCATGACAAACTTATGACGTGATTAAAATGAAATTGAACCATTTCATAGCCTCGTCAAGGGCAAATAATATTTGATGCAATATACTGAATATTATTTATGAGGGGGTATTCTATAACTGAATTTATGAGTTTTTCTTTCCAGTGCATGTAATTTAAAGTAACGTGAAAAGTCGATATAGCATGGGATTCGACATATACAAAATAATACTGATCAGTAATGTCGCCTTTATCATGTTTCACATCAGTTCCATGCTGATGAAGTTTCGCGAAAATAAGATGATTGAGCTAATTAAGCTTCATGCACTTACAGTGAAAGCCAGGAAAGAAGGGCATATCGTGTGGTCTTTTATATGAGATGCATTCACTGTATTTCACCTGAGGTGACTTAAGGAGGGGGACTGGTAGTTGAATTTTCTCACAATGATATGAGTAAAGCTTACGTTTTCATTTAACTTCACATTGTCTTATTTTCTCAAAAAGTATTTTTATTCATGGTGAACTGCAGTTTTGACCTCGCCTAGGTTTCATCAGCACCCCCAGTGAGATTCTTACCATGATAATGCCACAGTATTCATGGCGATTTTCAGCATCGGACCGTTGATTTAGTACATTCCCAGGCGTTTATTTAAATAAGCAGCAAAAAACGCTTAATATCTATTATTTCGAGGCCCAAAGTTCGTTATTTCAAATGACAATAATGTCGGGTTCAACTAGTAGTTATTACATATCTCGTCGAGGCAATTTTCCATCAAGTATGCGATTAAAATTCTCCTGCTGCATAACTTTTTGTAATAATAGTTTCAAACGTCTTAACCTCTAAATTATCGAAATGAACGACTAGAATGAGAAGAATGGATCGATCATTTTCGTTAAATTTGTCATTATCATCTGTAGCAACTGCTTGCTTGCGTCTTAGACACTTACACTTGTCATTGAGATCAAAAATAGTATGAGTAAGTCGGTCTTCAGATTAGAATAAAGTATCGCAAAGAAGCGGAAGCAGGAAGGCTGCACCAGCCAGACCAAGATTAAGGGTAAATTTAAAAATAAGCTACATTGTGAAATATTGCAAAGGAGCAGATGATGCAGATTCTAAGTTTAGGCTTTAATCAAAATATGATCTTTTGGTCTTATGGGACAAAGTCAGTAATTGGAGCTCACCAGTTTGGTTGGAGTCGAGGCATCAGCTTGAGAAGTAACAAGAGGTGACTTATCAGTGCCATACACTTTACAACTGAGTGCTTCGACTGAGTTTGATTCGAAGCTAGTGTTGGAAGCAGAATCATTTGAATCTGGATATTCCCGCAGGTCCTGAACTGACTTGTTAGTCAGGGTGTGCAGATAACATGAATCAATAAGTTCCTCCGCGTCCTGAAGCAATGAGGATAGCCGGAGTGTGGAAGCCCTATCTTGATCACCTATAATAATCGATGTCGGTCGATCGATTATCCCTTCATCGACTGTTTCTTGATTCTGTCTTTGTCGCAACTGCCGCGATTGTGACTGCAGGCGCTGGCCCTCAAGTTCTTTCAGGATTTGATGTAGCCGCTCATTAAGTCCAATAAGCTTACTTGCAGATAATACTTCGGTGGAAGTTTGTACTGCCGTGTGGCAAATTTCCGAGGAATTTTGCTGATAATGATTCTGAAAGTGTTGATAATTCGGTTCAGAAATTACATCTTTGAGACAATGTAACGAAGCCGAAGGAGGATATGTCTCTGAAATTTGGGCTGACATCAAGATTTGTCTGAACTCATCCAACTGGTGAGTAAGCTCTACGACTCGGGCCTCTGCCATCGTAGCGCGTGTTTCCAATTCAGCCATGGCTGAGATGTCGACAACAGAACTGGCTGAATCAGCTGCAACGAGGGGATCCAATAAACCAGGGCAAAATATTGATTTTAAAAGGGTAAAACAGTTAGTTAGTAGCAGCTCGCAGGCCTGCGGGTCCGGTGGGAGCCCAGTGATGTCATCATGACGGGAAGCGAGCAGACCTTCGGCAGCGACTAGCAGTTCAGTGACTGCAGCACGTCCAGCCAACACGGGTTTCTCGGCTGCTAAGACTTTGGAGCAGCAAGACTGAAGATGACCAGCAAATTGGCATATTAACAGACAGTTTGAACAACATCCTCTGTTGATGATATCGATAGCATTGGAGTCAGCGCAATTAAAAAAATGAGAGAGTTCGGGCGCTGGGGCTGGAATGCCAAAACCGGGCGTTTCTTCGACGAGTCCCAATATCGGGGGTTCTATTAAGTTAGATTTCAAATGAGCCGGGTTCAAATGTTCCATTGTCTGATGGACCGTTGTGACATAAGTTGAACATGTTGAGGCCTCTGATAAACTGACAGGAACGGAAGTTAGGGGCGCGCCGGTAGTGGACTCGGATAGTTTAACAGTCGCCTCGGCAAGGCGCGACTTGATCCGAGCCAGTTGATCCATAAGACTAGCTTCTTGGCTCTTATACACGGTAAATTCATGGTCATTAGACTGACTAACTGCTGTCAAGCGATCAACCAGTTGACGTATAAGCAGGTCACGATGCAAAAGCTCTGTGCTCAGGCAATCGATCTAAGTAAAAAGTGTTTGTGTATAATAGTTTCATTAGTCTATATTGCTTAATATAGAAATAAGGCCTGGTTCTAATCAGCATAAAAATGATAAACATGAGCCAAAATGCAAATATAAAATTATAGCAAAAAGAATCAATAAACAATTGATCTCTGAAATATGATGTTATTTGATAATAGGACTGTTTATATGCCAGGACCATGCATTTCTCATTGGTGTGGTTACATCATGTCTCGCTAAATTTCTATTGGAATAAGTGACCGACCTATTCAGAACCAAAAGATTAAGGACTTGCGTTTTCCATTGAATTCATTAGCGTTGCTTTCTCAATAACTGCTATTTCGTGAGATAATTAATTTATTATATCTCCAGAGTCCCAATATAACCTTAAATGAATTTTAAACTATGGAATACGCTACACATAACGGCTTATCTAAAGTATATCTTTCTAAATACTAAAGCGTTTTGCGAGCTGAATAGTGTACTTAAGGCTGAAAATTGGAACGAATTATAATTCGCAAGCTAAATATTTAAGTTTGCGCTCCTTACTGTCCATAGGATTTCTTAGGCTTAAAATCGTAATAAGTAGCAAAATAAAACAAATAATATTTAACATAAGTCGATAAATCTTGCATGACTGGCATTAAAGTCTCGAAAACCTACTTATTAACAAAAAATAAAGAATAATAGTCAACATCGGAAAAGTTAAGTGGAAGAAAGGATGCTAAAAAAACAGGTGAATATAGCCAACTCATAATATTTAATAGACAAGAAAAGATGAAATAAAGCCATATTTTGAGATGGCATTCATATATTTATCAAGGATTTTGGGAACGAAATAAAGCGCTAAGAAAACAATTCAACAATTCACGAGGCACTGTGGAGTATTTCTTACATATCCCCATATTTTTTCATTTATAATAAAAAAATTAATTAATTCATATACAACTGTGGTGTTTGATAAATCAATAGTTTGGAGGTCAAAAAGGGATGAATAAATGATACCTCTGATGGTGACCGAAAAATGTTATTGGTCAACGGTTCATCGACAGTTTGAGAAAACCTTCGGTCATAATTAGGCTTAAGGTTCTTTGGTGTTTCGCTTGCAGAAATTCTGTCATGTGAAGATTGTAAATAAGAATTAAAGGAGGGAAATTCTGATAAACTCTTTGAACAATTAGATGAGGAAAATTTCGGCTCATGTGAAGAATATGAGAAAGATGGTCTTGGAAACGCCAACCGTTTGTCCAGTTCTGGTCCTGGAGAAGGATGAGTAGAACTACAAGCACGAGAATTAGTGGAAATTTCAAAGTGAGAATTTTGCTGCTTGTGATCAAGTCGTGTAACGGATGAATCATTCGCAATCTATAAGAATATGTATAGAAAATATGTAATCTACGTACGTGATGGAAACTATAATCTTGCTGTAAAGTTAAAGGAGAATACGTTTGTTCTATCAAATCAGGGAAAGTAGTGTAACAGGCCGTTTCAGAAGGCAAAGTCACATTTTTGTCTTTTTCTTTAGTTTTAGAACTTGATAAAAGAGGACGCTGGCAAATAAAAGAAGAATAAAATACCTTTTTGTAACGTTTAATTCTTCTTAAAGGGCTCATAAGAACTAACAAAAAAATATTTCCATTAAATGGTTAAAAATGCTTGAATTCCACTTATGAATTAGCGGCTTCCGATCAAAGGCGATGACGTACGAAGGGGGGGTTAAAACTACCCGC